TGAATGGACGGAACTGGAGACAATCATGCTACATGAAGTAAGCTGATCAACAAAAAACAAAGGATGAAGGTTCTATCTGATATGTGAATGCTAACCCACAAGAAGAGAGAATGGGAAGATGAAGGATAGAAGTCCATTGAAGGAATAGAAGTCCAAAGGGAAATGAAGGGAATGGGGAGGGGAGGGAAATATCCTCCAGACAGTAGAATCAGATATAATATTCCTAACCTTGTATTTGAATACATGACTAGGATATTTGTACAACCACAAGAATAGAATCCTAATTAGAATAAATTATCCTCCATGAATGTATAATATTCCAAAATGCATTCTACTGTTGTGTATAACTAAAAAGAACAAATAAAATTAAATTTAAAAAGAAGAATTATTACTTAACAATATTGACAGGAACTAAGTCCAGTCAACCCACCTGAGAACATTTACTAAAGAAAATGAGCATACACATAATAAATTTTGGATTTTAGCTGTTCCTACTCTGCTGATCTCCAGGAAATAAGGAAATAGTTTTCCCTTTGGTGACTTCCCTAACAATTCAGGGCCAAGACTTTGCTTGCTTGTAGAACTGCCTTGAAAATTATAAGCCTGCAAGGAAATGAACTGATAGCATCCTTTCCTTATAACAATGTCCTCAGGGGCACAATTCACATATAGAAAAAAACTCCAAGACTCAGCTACATGAATGTATTTCTCAGCCATATTAAGAAAAGTGTTAAAGACTAAGGTGGGTTTTCAGAGGATGCAGTGTGCTTTCAATAACATATATAATTCTCTCAAAATTTTATTCTTATATCTCACTGAACTATAACTAATGCATAGATATTTGTAGATATAAATAACATTAGTACTATGGGCACATAAATTTATATATTTGTGGAGGGAAGTTTGTAATATTGTAATGATATATTTGAATAAAAATTTTATTCAACTATTTCTCATTTTGGTAAATTGGTACAACAAATTATTTCTCATTCATTAAAAGGTTCTATTATAGGACAAAAAAATATAAACTGATTTAGAATAATTTGATTATACTACTCTGGTTTTTTGAAGAATTTACTATATTTAAGAATTTACTATATTTCTAAGACTAATACTTAGAACTATTTAAATAATTATATAATAAAATGTGAATTTTAAATAGTTTGCAGCAATGAAATTTTAGAATATGACCATACGACTAAATAAACCTGTGATGGTTTACTTTATGTGTCAATTTGTCTGAGCCACAGAGTACCCATATATTTGATTAACTATTCTTTCTGTGGCCCATGAGGGTATTTCCAGATAAGATAGCATTTTATTTGGACAAGCAGACTGATTAAAAGAGATTGACTTCCCCAATGTGAGTGGGGTTTATCCAATTCTTTGAAGGCCTGAAAAGAATAAAAATTTGAATAACAAAGAATTCTGTCTGTCTGTCTTCTAGCTGGGTTACTTTTCTCCTGGTTTTGGACTAGGACCTAACTGGAACTTATACCAATGACTCTCCTGATTCTCAGGCTTCTAGATTCAAGAGTGTAACTGTATCATTTGTTCTCTTGGATCTGCATCTTATTGATCAAAGATCTTGGATTTCCAGAGCTATGAGAAAGTTATGTTGTTAAAGCCATTTAGTCCTGATATTTTGTTATGGCAGCCAATGCTGACAAATGTACATACTCAAATCCAGACCACCTCTGGAAATTCATGTTTACCAGTTTTACTTAAGTGTGTGTACAAGGAGAGGGAAAGAGGTAAAAGATATCCTAGCTAGTTCTCTAGGCACAGGTCACAACCCTTTATCTCTTATTCCTCATAGTAATCAGAAAAAGCATGATACATCCCCTAAAGATCATCTGCTTTAACAATGGAAGGCTGGGGAGAAACAAATAATGAGGATGTGTTATAGGGTTTCCTGCCTTTTTCTCCATCAATTTGTCAATGTATTAATTAGTCCAGGTGTTCTTTAGTGTCTTTCCAGTGTCCTTGTAATAACTTCCTTGTTGGCCTATGTGTCACCTACTTCCTCTCCCACTCATCCTTCACTATACATCTAGAGAAATCTTGCCTGGACTCATCCCTTCATTTCTTGGTGGCTAAGAATATGAGCTTTAGAGTCTGACTGCTTAGATTCACATCTCTGCTCTGCTATTACTAACTATATTGTTTTAGTAAGTTGCTCAAATTCTTTTATCTAAAAGAGGTTGATTTGTGCCCCCCAGAATAAACAAACATATCCTGAGTCTATGAAACTGCTAATCAATCCATCCTAGTTTAAATGGACTGACTGGGTGGTAACTGTGGGATGGTGGGATGTGGCTGGAGGAGCTGGATTCTGGGTGTGTCCTGAAATGGTTTATCTTCCCTGGGCCTCCCACTGTTCCTGACCCCACCATGAGGGGTGTAGCTTTCCTCCACAGCACCCTTTGGTCATGATGTTTTTCTTCTATCTTGTGTCCAGGGAAATAGGGGGTGGTCATCTGTGGATTGAGACTTCTGAAACTGTGAGCCAAAATCAACTTTTTCTTCTCTTAGTTTTTCTTCTTAGGTATTTTGGTCACAGCAATGAAAAGATAACTAAAAACATCACTTTTTTTCTTTTCTTCTCTTATTCTTTTCTTGTTTTCTTTCCTAGGATGAGTTTCCTATTATGTATTTTTATTCTGTGGCCTAAGAGGTGATCACCTGTCCCCTGTTTTCTTCTACTTTGACTCTCCCTGACACCCATTTCCATTCTTTTATGAGGAGAACATAAACTTGATCAACAACATCACATTTTATTGGCCTCTCATTATACACTCTCTGCTTTAGGATGAAGGTGTCCAGTTTTATGTGGACACTAGCAAGTCTTTTAGATATATAAGAAAAATATAGGATGCCAAGGCAGGAACTAAAGAATTCATTAATAACAGTTAGCACATGAATGTTTTTATTGTTAGAATTAGGTAATTATTTAAAAGTGAATTTGCTTGCTTATAAGTTCCTCAAACATGCTTACTGCTTGTCTCATCACAGCCAAGGAACACTCACCTAGACTGGAACTATTTACAGGTCCATTAACCTGGCATAAGTTCTTTGTGCTTTCATGTTGCTATTGCATCTTCTTGTTCATGAGAACAAATTCATGGAGAAGTTTGAAATATCTTTGGCTTTTCAGTAAAGTGCAACTTGATAATACAAAAAGTTTTGTGTGCATGTGGTGTGTGAATCAAGTTTTTCAACTCACATTCTTATATTATACATAACCCTAAAATGTTTTTAATCTTTTAAATTAAAATATTTTATTATTTTATTAGTACATTATAGTTATACATAATACTGGGGTTCACAAATGTGGAACTTGAGTAAAATTTTTAAAAGGGAGATCCCATGAAAGTGAAAGGGAGATCAGTGGAGTAGAAGAAGGGGATGGGAGAGAGGGATGGAAAAGGACAGGAACTACAGAATAAAATTGACAAAATCATTCTATGTATATACATGAATACACCTCAGAGAATTCTACCTTTATATGTATCTATAAAGCACCAATTTAAAAACCAACAAATAAATAGGAAGAAAACCAGTTAGAAGAAATAAAACAGGGGGAAGGAAAAAGGGAGAGAAAATTGGGATGCATTTTTTTTTTTTGATAGTGGGAATTGAATCCAAGGGCATTTAATCACTGAGCCACACCCCCAGCCCTATTTATCTATTTATTTATTTATTTATTTAAATTTTCTTAAAGCTTCAATAAGTTGCTGAGGCTGGCTTTGAACTTGCACTCCTCCTGCTTCAATGTTCTGAGTCGCTGAGATTACAGGCATGTGACACCATGCTTAGCTGGGACTACATTATTTTTTATTTTAGTTGTTAATAGAATTTTATTTTTATTTATTTATGTGTGTTGCTGAAAATCAAACCCAGTGCCTCACACATGCTAGGCAAGTGCTTCATCACTGAGCCACAAACCCAGTCCCGGGGACTACATTTTTAAAAGCTACTCTTTGTACTTCTTTGTCATGCTGACTTAAATTGATTGAACATTTGTCTAAATTAGTTCATGTAACATTATTTCCATGTATGTATTTGTGTCTTCACACTAGATCATAAGGAACTTGGAATTTTTATCATAGCAACAAGAACAATTCTGAGTCTATAATGGAAAGTTTATAATAGTATTTTTAGTACTTTTACTAAAATTTTTAGTATTTGCACAAATTTAGTTTTTGTACTCATGCAAGATATAACTACCATGATGTTTCTTTCTCCCTTCATATAGAGCACAAATCAAGCTCTATCTTATATAAGATATGCAAACATGGAATAAGCTACCATGAGTCATGTTCTTGTGACCCAGAGGTGATGATTTGAGTTAAGGAAAAAAGTGCCATTTCAGGCATTGGTATCATCTGAGAATGTAGCTATGAACTTCATCTTAAAGGAGTAGAAGGACCTAGATGGTGCTAACAGGACTCTGTACAGGATGTGGTACTGGAAAGCCAAAGCAACCTATTGTCATTGGGCAAGTGAAATTCCCCAAGCACTTTCTTTTTTGTTGATAAATACAGGAATAATTTCTAAGGTCCAGTGTTATGTAGGTGTAAGATTCCCAGTACATGAAGAATGTGTGTCACAATTTTTTAAGAAAATATTTAATTTGGCCCCTTGAATGAACAGTTCCTAAAGTTAAATATGTCGTAGTTCAGAAGACATGAGTTAGCTGTTTGGTAAAGTCCTACATAATTTCCCATTAAGAAGTTCAGTAGATTAGACAAAGGGGAATGAAGGGAAGGGAGGGGTATTAGGAAAAGAAAAGACAATGTAATGATTCTGGCATAATTTTTCTATGTACATAATGAATACACCACAGTGAATCTCACCATTGTGTACATCCACAAAACTGGGATCCTAATTAGAATAAGATATATTCCATGCTTGTGGATTTATACCAAAATTCACTCTACTGTCATATATAACTAAAAAGAACCAATAAAGCTTATTAATAAATCTTTTTTTTTAAAAAAAAAAAAAAAGGTGCTGCATTAACAAACCTGAGGTGATCTTCAAGCCAGAGCAAGAAACAGAGACAGAGACAGAGGAAGTACTGTATCAGAGCCTTCTGGGTCAATAATCACACACTGAGAATATTGGCTGGAAGGAGTAGAGGCCAGGAGATACTGGTCAGGTTGAGTTTCTTTTACCCATTTTTCCCAGGTGCCAAATCTGTTTATAGCTTGTCTCAGGGGCACCAGACACAAGCATTGTTCAGACTAAGGCAGACTCTCAAGTATAAATCTATACTCTCCTTTTTGTCAAGTATTTTCTTAAGACTTACCAAAGATCCAATCCCTTTCTACTACTTCACAGACTTTTCTTTGGTTAGTTAATTTCTCCTAAATTTTCAGTTGATTTTATTTTTTATGTCAACTTTTATTGACACATATTAATTGTACACATTAATGGGATTCACTTGGTAATTCCATACATGCAGACAACTGTGCATTGATCATATCGGTCTCTGGACTGTCTTCTTTCATCCTTCCCTTATTCCCCACAGCACACTTCCAAGTCCCTAATAATCACCTTGTTACTTTCAGGTTGATTTTTTTTATTATTACCACATATTAATTGTACAAATTAACACTATTATGTTTCCATACACGCATATATTGTGTATTGATCGTATTGATCATGTCTGCCCTCCTTACTAGTCTCCTTTGCCCTTTCTTTTGCCAGTCTTCTACAGATCCCCTAAAAGAACCTCTTCTGCTTTCAGGTTGTTTTGTTTTGGTTTTTGTTTTATCTCCACATATGAGAGAAAACATGTGAGACCCACAGAAGAGTCATTGTCAAAAACTTATTCCTTGACCACCCCTCCCTCTATAGCACATTTACAAGCAAAAATCTCCCTCTCCTATACTTTCATTCATATGAAGTAAATAAGAAATGAAAAAAGGAAAAGAAACAAAGTCTTCCCTCCTTCTCTTAAAATAAGAAAATTGAGGCACCAAGAAGTGAGGTGACTTGCTCAAGGTTACAAGACTTTGAACAGCTAAAGAAGGACTGGAGCCCAGCTATCCCAGTCCAATATTCCACTCACGAACTGTGCACCCTTAAAAGGTGACTGGATGAAGTAATTTTGTGTGAGGAGAAATTAGTGGAAAAGTTAAATGAACAACCAAAGAAGTTAATTATTAAATCATGACATAACTCCCCTAGGGAATGCTTTGTAGTTACTAGAAACAAGTGATAAACATTGACGAAATGGGAGGTCTTGTGCTCTCACAAGGAGCAACTCGGCATCATGCATACTGTATGAATTTGACTGAAAAAAAATGTGTTAAAAAAGGGTGGAAGAAATATATCAAAATGGTGACTTCTGGAAGGTGGGATTGTGCTATTTTTCCCCTTTCTTTCAAGTTTTCTGTATTTTCCCAGGTTTCTAAAATGCACATTTCATTTATTACAAAAAAAATATATCCCTCTATATTTTAGTTTAAAAAAAACTGCTTGGAAGCAGCCTCTGTGCCTTTTGTGAATTTTCAGGGAGGCACTCTGAGCCTCCTTTCATCCTTCACTGCCTGCTTCATCACTAGTTCATGGGAAGGATCATGGTTTCTGGAGGGACATCTCTGCTGGGAGCCTCCATGTGCTATTTTGCATTTTAAGTACAGACCACTTTTGTGTAGTGGGGGTGTCTAGGTGACCACCCCACAGTCTTATAGTGGCACCCGAGCATGGAACTAGCCTCCTGAGTCCCAGACCAGTGCTCTTCTCTCCAGGGGCCATAGTTTCCTGCATCCTCAATACTGGAGCATCTCCCTCTGGCACTCCTGTGAAAGTAGGCAAGGCTAAAGTGAACCTTCTCCATCTCTGGTGGCCAGATCCACTCCTTGCCTCTGTGGGCCAGCAAGTGGGTAGCCAGGCACACAGAGGGGCATATTGGGGCACCACTGTCCAGAGAGCACCAGGGTCTTGCCCCCATGTGGCTGTTCTGTGCCTCAGTCATCCAGGTGTTGCTCTTCCCAAGTAGATGTGGGAATGGCACTGTATGGGTCCATGATGACCTTGGCACAGCGAATGATCATTACTATGAGGAAGAGACAAAGGAAGACAAAGCAGGCCAAGGTCAGCCCCTTGTCCACATCGACATAGACAGGTTCAGGCGTGGGCTCCTCCATCTCCTGGCAGCTACTGTAGGCTCCTCCTGCGGCTCAGGCTTGACTGGTACCATTTTCCACCCCTATGGAGAGCCAGGGCAATGGAGAAGGGAAGGTTAGGGCCACTTCTTTGGATCAGTACAGAGTGATGATATCTTTTTTTTTCTGTCCCCCACTACCACCCCAAGCAAGAACTTGCTGTTCAGGGCACCCACAGGAAGGTAAAAAAGGGAAGAGGTTATATACATACCTTTTAAGGGAGCCACATAGTCATAGCCCTAACTGGTGTCTCTAACTGTGCAACCTATTCCTTCCCAGGGTGGATGGGGAATGTGACAATGATTCCCAACAGGGGTGGGGCTCAAGTGGGGCTGAGGGCAGCTTGAGATTAGAGTCCTTGCAGCTGCCTTCACTCCTTGAAGCCATTCAGGAAGAAGATGAGAATAATGTTTTCACTTAGTCAACCCAACATTTGAACACAATCAAATGCATTTTTTAAATTAGGCAATGAATTTTTCAAATAAAACTGAATGTCAAACACAATGTATGAACAGATAGAAGAGAAGCTGCTGCTATGTCAGAGGAAAGGAGCCATGCAGGGTCTATGTTTCCTTTCCCTCTGTGCAGGCCTCAGGTGACACCATTTGAAAATTGCAGGTGCAATGGGAGTAGAATTTTGGCAGTCAGAAGGAGTTGAAGCCCCATTGCTGCTCTGCAGAGCAAGTCTGGGCAACTCACCATCATTGACCACTCATTCATCTTAAGGAGATTTACTGACTTTTCAAGGACCTGATTTTCCTCCTGCTGACTGCAGGAAACAATGCATGCTTTACAAGAGTGTGAGTATTATAAGCAATAAAACTTAAGTGTAAAAACTCAGCACAGTTCATGGCCCCAGTAAGCAGTCAGTAAGTACTTGAAATGATATAGGAACTTTGGGAGCAGGCGAGGGTGGGCAGAGCTGCTTCCTGCAGGGAAGGAGAACCTTAAGATAAAGGGCCAATTGTAGTTCTCTCCATTCATAACAAGCATTCCTGTACTCATCTCTGAACCTGCATAGCACTAGTACTCATACTGTGCTGTCACATCCAGTTTTGTTTTTAAACTTCATGACTGCCCTGGAAGCTAGTTAGCCAGGCATCAATACGTCCATTTTATGAATGTGAAAACTGAATCACGGAGCAGAAAAATTACTTACCCAAGGTCCTACATTACAAACCCGAGATCTCTACATATCCCTTCCTCTTCTGGTGCAAGGCAAAGTGAGGATACCCCCCCCCAATCTGAGCTTTAAGAACATGGCTATGTAAGCATTCTCAAAGCTTATTCCAGACCCAGCTGGCCTGGAATATCTGTGACCATGAGTCCCATGCTTTCCCCTCTCTTAGACCTTGCCTCTTCTTACCTACTCACTGGGCCACTGACCTGCTTTTGGAGTGGTCACCACTTCTGAAGGACCTTGGGTCAGGCTGTTCCAGGAAGAAGGGGGAGCAGCAGAACATTACAGCCCAGAGCCAGTGAGAACAGCATGGCCTTTCACTCAGAGAGAATCAGTGTGCTGGCAGTGGCCCTGGAGCAACTGAAACAGAATGGGACAGAGGAAAAATTGTTATTTCCTGAGATGCTCAGCCCCAGTCCTGATCTCTCCTGGCAAAAAGCATTGGCCCTGGCAGCTTCTTCCTGGTGCAGGGCTGGGAGCTGCCATGCTGTCAGCTCGTGCTGCCTTTCCCTTTCCTTTTTAAATATAACTTTAAATATTATAGCAAAAATGCACATAACATAAAATTTATCACCTTAACAGTTTTGGGGGGAATCAATTTGGGAGGAATTTTGTTTTATTTTTGTTTTGGTGCTGGTACCAGGGATTGAACCCAGGGGTGCTTTACCACTGAGCTACACCCCCACCCAGGATGTAGCTTTTTATTTTTATTCTTATTTTTCATTTTGAAACAGGTTTCACTGCTTAGGGTCTCACTAAATTGCTGACACTGGCCTTGAACTTATGATCCTCTTACCTCAACCTCCTAAATTGTTGGCTTTATAGCCATGCACTCCTGCACCCAACCCCATCTTAATGGTTTTTAAGTGTACAATTCTGGGGCTGCAGATGTAGCTTAGAGGCCTGGCATGAGAGAAGCCTGAGTTCAGTCCCTAGTACTGGGGAAAAAAAGTACAATTCCAGTGGCATCAGATACATTTATATAGTTGTGCAACCGTCATTACCTTCCATCCCAGAACTTCTTTATGGTTTCACACTGAAATGCTCTACCATTAATCAGAACTCTCTGTTCTCCTTACCCCTAACCATGGGTGACCACTATTCTTTCCATCTCTATGAATTTGACTACTTTGAGGACCTTGTGTATAAGTGGACTCATTCTGTGTTTGTCCTTTCATGACTCTCTTATTTCATTTAGCATACTGATCTCAAGTTTCTTCCATGTTGTATCCTATGCCATAATGTCCCTCCCTTTTTAAGTTTGAATATGTCATTGTATAAACACATGACATTTTGTTATCCATTAATCTGTCACTTGTTAGCTGAGCTGTCTCTATCCTATCAGCTATGGTAAACAATGCTGCTACAAATGGGTGTACGAATCTCCTTGAGCCCCTGATTTCAATTCTTTGGGGTATATACACAGAAGTGGAATTGCTGGATCACCTGGTAATTCTATTTTTAACTTTTTGAAGATTATATTTAACATTTTTGTATAAATGATACATGTGCATAATTCAAAAGCATAAAAAGAAAACAAGGAAAAGCAGGGTTTTTAAATTTTTTATTAACATGTATTACTTGTATATATTAATGGGGTTTAATGCAATGTTTCAATACAAGCATATAGTGTGCACTCATCAAATCCAGTCTCCCTTTATCCTCATTCCACTACTCCTTCCCAACCTCAAGTAACCCCTATTCTATATCCAGATCAACTTTTTTTTAACTTCCACTTCTGAGTGAATATATAGTACTTGTCTTTCTGTGTTTAGTTTGCTTCATTCAACATAACATAATGTTCTCCAGTTCCATCTGTTTAAATGTAAATGACAGGATTTCATTCTTCTTTATGGCTTTAATATTCCACTGTGTGTCTGTACCATGTTGTCTTTATCTATTATGGAACTCTTATACACTGTTGGTGGGAATGTCAACTAGTACAACCATTATGGAGGAACAATATGGAGTTTCCTCATAAAATTGAAATACCTACATACCCATGTTTACTGCAGCACTGTTTGTGATAACTAAGATACAGAATCAACCCAAGTGCCTAAAAATGAAAAAGCAGTTTCTAGTGATCCAATTCACCTTCAGAAAGGAAGCTATTATTTTTAGATCCTTCTACATCCATCTTATCTGTAGGTATCCTATGCTTATGAAAGAAAATTACATATTTATTTGTTTTTCATACACATGCAAGCCAATTATACAAACTGTCCCACATCTTACTTTTTCAATTTGTTTTATCTTGGAGATTATTACATATCAATATATACAAGTCTGTCTCTTTCTATTTAATAGCTGTAGTATATTTCATTGTATGGATATACCACAGTATACTTAACCATACTTCTGTAAAACCGTTTTTCTATAAAAGATGATTTCTAATATTTTGTTAATCAAACAATCATGGAACAAATATCCCTGTAGCTTCGTCATTTTCCATATGCCTGAGTATGACTTTCAATTAAATTCCTATAGAGGAAATTGCTGTGTGTAAAGATAAATCTATTTTAATTCTGATTGGTCTTATTCTTTTTAGAAACTGTACCAAGGTAAACTTCTACTTTCAAAGATTGAGAAAAGCTGTTGACCTACAACTTTGTAAACAGAGTTAGTAAGCTTTTTCATTTTTGCCACAATGAATTTTTTTCCTGAACATTTTCAAACATACAGAAGATTTGAAAGAAGTACACAGTACAGTGATATTTTACCACATTTGTTTTATTGAAAATCAGTCCCCTATCCATTATTCTTGCTGTTTAATGCATTTCAAAGAAAGATATAGATATAAGTATATATCAACATGCATAGTAATAACTAAAATTCAATATTTGTTTACAGATTTTTAAAAGCAAATTTTACATACAGTGAAATAGATAGATAATTTTTATCACTTTTAAAATTTGACAAATGAATACATCCTTGTAACTGTCAGTGTAGCTTTAATTTTGATTTATTTTAGTGAACAAGGTTAACATTATTTCATATGTTTAAAGTCCATTTGCATTTCCTTTTTTGTGAACTTTGTAAATATCCTTAATCCATTTCCTCCTGAGTTTTTGGTCTCCCCCTATTTTGGCCTTGAAAATGGAGTTTAAGTATATATACTTATTTTATTTTTCTGATTTTTATTTCATTTGTGTTTTTTTCTTCATTGCCAATTGCTTCTCTTATTCCTCTTTTTCTCTTCCAATATCTAATTTTAGTCACTAGAATTAGCTTTCTCACTGTTTACCTTTGTTTTTTAGATGTGCTTCAATCTCTGTAGTTTGAATAGTCAACTTTAAATATCTTTCTATTTCCTGCTATTAAATATTAGGAATCTAGGAATCTTGCTCAGGAGTTCACCTTCTTTCAACATTCTCTTCCCATTGGCCATTGCTCTCTTATTTCTACACGGTCAGTATGTAGCATTCACAAATTAATATGATATTTATGTCCATCTACATTTTCTCCAAGTTTTGCAGTGAAGTCAGCATAAGGATCATCCCCAACCCCACATTTCTATTATTTTTGTGCTGTAATCTGAATATTTTCTAATGAAATAACTTCCAATTCATGCATCTGATCTGCTGTGTCCAATCAGTTGCTAAACCTATCAGTTCAAATTTAATTTCAGCCATACTTTTTGTTTTGTTTTTAGATATACATGACAGTAGGGAGAATTCTGACATATTATACATACATGGGGTGCAACCCATTACAATTTTGATCCCATTCTTGTGGCTGAATATCATTATGCGGAGTTACACTGGTCACGTATTCATATATGAGCACAGGAAAGCTATAACCAGTTGTTTCTGCTGTCTTTCCTATTCTCATCCCTCTTCCCTTCCCTTCATTACCCTTTAGTTTTAGAATTTCTATCTGATCTTTTGATCCTTTGAAATAATTGTCAGCCCTCAAAAAACATATTTCTACCTTGTCACTTGTTTTCCTGGTAATATTTATCACAATGATTTTTTTTTTTTGGAGGTCTTGTTTTATTTTGCAGTACTGGGGATTGAACTCACAGCCTTATGCATGGTAGGCAAGTGCTCAGCCACTGAACTACATTTCCAAACCCTTACCATAATGTTTTTATAATCCACATTTTAGAACTTCTAAAAAAAAAAAAAAAAAAGAACTTCTATGTCTAGGTCTTCTGTGAGTCAGCTTCTATTGTCTTGTGGGGGTTTTTCTTCATTTTGTTCGATTTCTTGATAACACCTGATAAAAATTTTGATGGGATTTTTTTAATATTTAGTTTTAGTTGTAGTTGAACATAATATCTTTAATTCACTTATTTATTTTTATGCGGTGTTAAGGATCAAACGCAGAGTCTTGCACCTGTGAGGCGAGTGCTCTACCGCTGAGCCACAACCCCAGTCCCAATTTGGGTGGGATATTGAACATTAATATGAAACACTGCATGGCTAGAATAATATTCTCCTGCAGAGAGGGTGCACTACTTCCTCTGAGAAGGAGCTGGAGTGCAGGTATAGCATCTTAAGCCACTGTGGGGCTGAGCCAAGTTGAGTAGTTCATTTCTTATAATCAAGGATAGTGTCTACATCTGGTTTGACAACAATTCTAGTGTTCTGCCCTCCAGAGTTCCAAGCTGAGGACCTGAGATATTTCTTTAAACTGTTCATTCTATTCAATGTCTTGAGATAACAGAAAACTGTTTAGGAAGAATATTCAGGGTTCTTCAGCAATTGGTGTTTGATTCTGTCCTGTGCATTGTAAAAGCATGAAGCTTGAATATGTGTGCTGTTTGCTATTAGCCACTAATAAGTACATAGACAGGACTAGGAATGTGTGTTTGGTTGAAGTTCTGCTGCTCTTTGGCTCTGGGATTTTTAAAAAATTATTATTAATAGGCATAATTATTATGCATGGGGAACAGTGTGATATTTTGATAGCTATATATAACATGTGATGATTAAGTCAGGGTAATTAGTATGCACATCATCTCAAATATTTTGTGTTGAAAATATTCAAAATTATTTCTTCTAGATATTTGGAAATATACAATAAGTTATTAACCATAGTCATAGGTTCTAGATTCTATATAATTAATTCTGATTGGTATTATTCTTTTTAGAAACTGTACCAAGATAAACTTCCACTGTCAAAGACTGAGAAAAGCTGTTGACCTACAACTTTGTAACAGAGTTAGCAAGCTGATCCATAATGGAGGGGAGGAACATGGGAAAAATGGAGGACCTTTGATGGGGCAAAGGGGAGGGAGTAGTAGGGAAGGACTATGGGGGCAAGAAAGATGGTTGAATGAGATGAACATCATTACCCTAGAAGTATCTAAGGTCTTACTGCACATATGGTGCGACACTACATCAAGTACAACCAGAGAAATGAAAAGTTGTGCTGCAATTATGTATAATGAAT